GTGGGGGTTGAGGAGGGGACGAGGATTTGGGCGGAGGGGTGGTATGCGAGGATGGATGGGGGGGAGAATATGAAGGAGGGGGTGAGGAGCTTTGTAGAAAAGAGGAAGCCGAGGTGGGTGGAGAGTAAGTTGTAGTTTAAATTGTTGATTTTGTACTTGTATAGTGGAAGTTTTATCTTGAGGATTGCTTGTTTTACATGTATAAGGAGTCCATAGTCTCCTTTTCTTAGAGATGTATGGAAAATGAACATTTCATAAGTTTGGTTATTATTGAAGTTGTGGTCATGGAAGTGTGGCATTCAGTCGAACTAGCTAGGAAAGAGAGACCGAGTCTCTCGGTACTAAACACAATTCCTAACGCTTGGGCCATTAGTGCATGCTAGCGCATTCACTATGTGAGCTCACTTCTTAACAGTTATGTTTAAATTCCAAGTATCCGCTAAGTCAGAGGCTTACCAAAGCTCGCTTAACTAACCTCATTCCTTTCACCACACCTTCACAACGTAGAATACCTTTTCCCCCATGACCAAAATACATACCTCTTATATATCCACGTTCGACCTGCTCACAGTTGAAGGGGGCAGATATACGCGACTAGCACATGGGGTTTAGAGAGCCCCAGGGTGCCGGTAAGAGCCTTGCGGAGCCGCGAGTGAGCGAGGGAGTATGGGAGAGGTGAGTGAGCGAGGGGCTCCGCAAGGCGAGTGCTGTCCATATATGTATGTGGGTTTGAGGATGTGTGGGTGTGGGTGTGGAGGGGTGGAAGTGTATAGAGAGAGTACGATATCCACCGCCTGCCCTACAAATATCCTTCTCTCCTACATTTGTATAACATGCATCGGAAAACCCTGTAGGCCAAAACCATACCCGGAGTGCCCTCCTTGCCTAGCAAAGTCAAAGATTATTATCATGACCGTATCGCTCGTCGTTCGTACCGATTAAAGTATAGATGTGGAAAGTTCGTTATATATCATTGTTCTACAATACGCGAATTGCTTACTCTCCTCCCCCTCCTAGGCTAGCTAGCCAACGCCTGTACTATTTATTTGAAATGTAGGGACAAGGTTTCGCTTCCTCGAGACCCGAGTAGGAATACAGAGAGCGTCGCTTATGTTAGGAGAGGTTTTGTTCCTTGAAAGAACGAGTGTGTACGTATTGCTCCTATAAGCAAGCGCAAGTAAGCAATCGACACTTGGTTAGAACTAGAGCACTTAGCTAGTTGAGAGAGGAGATCGAATAGGGGTAAGAGAAGCAAAGTAACAAGAACGAGCAAAAGAGAGCTCTAGGCGTACTCTTCCTGCTCTCAGGCAGGAAATATGAAATTGTTGATTCCTGCTCCCGCCGCTAGCTCTTTGGTCTGTTGGTCTTCCTCACATGGTACAAAAACATCCCCTATATCATGGAATACAAAAGAGAGCATCTATTCACACTGAGTGAATCCCAAAAGTTGCATTTACTGACTCACCCTTATCGTTGACTAAGTGGCTATGAGTGATTATCCCACTTTCTTTCAACCATGAATGTACAGAGGCTACCCAGTTCAAGTTTCTGCAGTTATCCATAGCCCCAACTTTTGTACTGTGAGCAATGTATATCTGTCATTCTAAGGATATTCAACCACTCCTATTATAAAACGTTTCTGTAATTACTCATAGCCCCAACTTTTGTATCATGGGCAATGTATATCTGTCATTCTAAGGATATTCACTCACTTCTATTTTGAAACGTTTCTGCGATTATTCTTAACCCCTAACTTTTGTACTGTGAGTAATGTAAATCTGTCATTCTCGGGATATATTCACTTCCTTCCTTTACATATCGTAATTGTAAGTTTGGAAAAGAAAGCTTCTGGCTATTTTCCTTGAAACTCTTTGTTAATCCTTGGAGAAATGTAGAGTGGAGAGGAGAATATAGAGTATCCTAATGGCTACCAGCACACATAAAAGCAAGCTACAATAACTTTTAGGAGATCAAAAAGTTACAAAAATTGGGAAATATTCCTACAGATCAAATCCCATATTCTGAGTAATACGATCTAATCTAGAATTTGAATGATACGATATACTTAATCACTCCTTAATAACCGATTCATAGAACGAGTTAATCTTATCAGGGCGCGAGGAGGGTGGGGTTGTGAATCACCCAGAATTAGTATAAATAGAGGTCAACTTCTCTCGAGATCTTGCTTCTTTACAACTTCAAAACATCTTCTACAACAACTTTATTATACAAACATCTATATCTACTTCATTATATAACCCTATACATACTCTCAAAAGCAAACCTTTACAAGCTTCGAAAACTCCATCTGCACAATATGGCACCACAAGATATCGGTCTCGAAGATGTCCGCATTACGCCACTCACCCCTGAGATCCTCGCCGCGATGAAAACGGAAGAAGAAAGGAAGAAGGCTATCCGCGAACGTGGCAATTGGTTTTACAATGTTCGCATGAATATTTACATCAATGGCCAGGGACTGCAATTTACAGAAGTGGAGAAGGAGAAAGCTCATGATTCACCAATTTCATATCATTACAGTTGGCGCCAGTAAGTGAGCACCACTACTTGATTTATAGAATACTAATTTTAGCTAGCGCATTGGAAACGAAATATGACGAAGGACCTACTCAATGGACTATCCGTGGAGTCAACAAAAGGGGTGAGAATCCTCACGAAGACCCAGCGCCTGGAATGGGCAAAAGCCTTGCGACGAAGGAAATTCGCGAAACGAAGGATCTTGAAAAAAAGAGAGAAATGCTCGCCGAATTGGGGGAGAAAAACTTTTTTGAATCCACCAAATTCTTTCTCGAAAGCACGTTATATAAACAACTAATGGATGAGCTGAAGAAAGAAGCGAATAAGGAACGTTTGAAGGGCATCACCGACATGGTCGCTTTTGGGGGTAGTGATGCCATGCAACTGGATAGAACGGAGGCAAACCACGTCCTTAAATGTGTTGTCCAACACCGAACTATGTACGATTGTCGTGAAGTGATACGGGGATTCTCAGGCAAAAGTAAGGAGGAAATCTCTGCTTATGCTCAAGACCCAATGTACACGGAAGAGGATGCTCTTACTCTTGGACGGGTGGGGATTGACGTTACAGGGGCTCGTTTCAACCAGCACGACGCGTTAACTAAGCTCAACGAAAATTCTTTTGTTTTTGATTTTATCGTGTGTTACCCAGTGGAGAATATCATCTTCAAGATTACACGGCCAGCAGCTATTTTCACTCATTTCTACATTGACGAAGAAACCTTTACAAAATACTCTGCAACGGAAGATCAATACGTGAATTTTGAGGGTGCGGACTACAGAATTCCAGGCCATACTCCGTGAGTATTACACACTCCTTCTTGTAGTAACCCTGGCTACTTGATCCTATCTAGGATGCAAGAAAATTACAAATTTGAGAAGTTCCAAGAAGATTACGAGGAAATTGCTTTAGATGTCAGCAAATTGTTGGCTGGAAAGCCCGGAGGAGAGGACAGGGAAGCTCACCGAGATGGATGGAGGGGATTCAGCTATCTCGGTTATCATCCCCATTTATATATTCGCCGCTGGTAGAATATGTAAACATCCAAAGCGGAAACTTTGCTGGTGGGTTTGATTTTGCCACGGTAGTCGTGCCGTGGTTTGTTGGTTTGGTATGTTAATTGCGCCTGGATTTTAGCTTACAGTCGCCATGCATGGATTTCTTTTTTTTGCATGGACTTTTTGCATGGATTTTTTGCATGGATTAAACTGCAGTTTAATAATTACTACTTAATTTAGATCTAAAAATGCATGGTTTTCATAAAAAGAAAATAGTCTTATGTCTGTAACTTTAAGTGTGAGACAAAAAAAGTACGAGGCCCTGAAAATTGGGTGAGTTCTGGCTATATCATCATTTCTTTTTTCAATAGAAGCGCTTATAAATCAGTATAGTAGCTAAAGAATTTAGCAGACCCTTGATTAAAATTGTTTCACCCGTATTACACAGGGAAATATAGCACTAGCGATGAACAAGGATATTTTTCAATTAACTGTAAGTACTATGGGCGCTATCGATTAGCTCGGTCACGCATCCAACACAGTACCAAGAACACAACGAAAATAATGTTCAAAATATGTGGAAATCTGTATTAATTCACGAGTAACATATCTATCTCAGAGCCCTCTATACCTACTCCCGAGACTTCTCAGCTATCTAGTTCGATGTTCCCATTATGCCAAACAAGTTCGTTTGTTGAAGATTTGAGAGGGTTCCTTAAACAACTCCCACCACAAAAGAGCAAGGAGCCTCTTGCCAATCAACTCATCACATAAGGTCCGAAACATTGACCAGAAACTGTGGCTTTCATGGAAGTCTCATGTCCACGAATATTCCAAAAAAGTTCCTCTCAAAGTGAACCCTTTCTCCTGGGCGACCATATTCTTCATGTGCTCCCTCCTCAGGAATATACTGGAAAACTGTCTAAGCTCCCCGTATGACATGATAGATTTCACCGGGTGTTCATCAATAATATTGCGTGTTACATTGCTTTTCCAATGCTGGCTTCCGCAAACAATCGTGATACTCTGAAGTTGGGGGAAAAGCTGCCAAGATCTTGTTGCGAAGACGGATCGGGTTCTGTAGTATGTATGATGACCGACCGCAATGTGCTGAATGTGCTCACGAATTGGCACAGAACCATGAAAGCCAGCTTCTTCAAATGGATGATAGTACCAGAGGTAGAAAGTCGTTTGGGAAAAGTCGAACATTGTTTTCTCTAACAACATAGTAATGGTTTCTGTTGAGTCTACAACAAGCATCCTAAGACGCATTTTTTTGTATACCTCACCGGCCTCTTTGCAGACATGTGCTATATTGAACAAGCTATCCATCATTAAAATTGTGGCGGCTCCAGGTGTTGGATGAATCGTGGAAGTTGGCTCATGTCCATGGTTTTGTTTGAATGCAACAACTGACATTGATGGGTCGCTTATGGCATCCTCCCAGATCATCGGTCGAAGCTCTGGATAGAGTTTAGGAAACATCCGGAACATAATTTGATGAGAAGTGGTAGCTCAGAACGTTAGGAGAGCAATGTACTTAAACAAGGACTGTAGATTTGCACAGAGACTCTTTTTGGGATCAAGGCTAAGCGGTAGTCTTATGGACGTGTGCGAGCTGTAAGACATTATGCTTCCTGTAGTAATCAAGGACCAACATGCATTCACCCAGTACTGCATTCGCCCAACGCTTGTGTGGCTTGAAAGGAGAGCCTCCGATAGGCTTTTATACGACTCCCTAACAATCAGTGAATCGAAATTGAAGCTGGTAGATCTGTAAAGTTAGTCTCCTCATTCAAAAATTTACGGTGATATGAGTAAGTCTTTCCCCCTTCTGAGCTAATTGTGGACTCTTAGACGGCATTCTGGAATATATTGATACTAAAACTTGGCTGAGTCAGGTTCAACAAGAAACTCATAAAAATCAGAAGTGAATCTTCTGGCCCATTATCAACACAGTCAATTGGTTCTTACACAGTACTCACTAATAAAAGTGCAGACATTCACATTGAAGTATAAACTTACTAGTTCCCACACTGGATTTCATTATTTACAACCACTCTCAGGTGACCAACAGTCCTCCCACGATAGAACCAAAAATGCATAACAGCCCCAATGCCACCCTCAAGACTACAAACCATTCACATGAACCTGATGAGGATGCAGAGTTTCTGGAGAAGCTGGAGAACAACAAAAGACACTTACCATTCTTCGATACGAAATTCACTAAATTCATCAAATCTCTCTCTGCACAAGAGCGAGGAAGGTTCTTTGACCTCTACGAGGAAGCTGGGGAACACCTCACGCTACAAGGACTTGAGGGCGCTGACTTGGATCGGGCAAAGTGGCTCATTCTCGGGGAGTTTTCAGCAGAGTCACGCAATGTTTTTGAGCAATCTCATTTCGCCATAACGAAGGACACGACAGAATGGGATTTGTTGCAGGAGGTACACTTCGCGTGGATAGCATGGGGAAAATGGCTGAAAATAAAGCCATTCAGGGAGATGGGGTCTTAAATTAGCCTAGTCGTTCATCCAGCAACGAGAAGCTCGTGATTCGTCCTAAACATCAAGTTTATTTAGATTTGCGTATCCTCACGAGTCATAAGGTCAGACAAAGGTCTCGAGTTACTATGAACAAAGAGTGATATGAATGCCTTTGTGACAACAAAGACTCGGAGTAAGTGGTGTGATTGGATTACTTTGGCATTCTTTGTAGTGTCACCAACAGATCCCAACTTGGAGCTGACTATAAAGGCTTCCATATACATAAACCTCTCTCACTCTAGTGTCACCACTTCATTATTTCCTGCCTTCAAATCCTCTCGGCCCAACATCCCTCGAAACCTAGCAACGATGCCCACTATATTCGACCACATCCTCCCCAACAGCGAGTTCCAGAAAGCTTCATATGCAGAAAAAGATAAGGCATCCGACTACCTCAGCTCACTCTCCTGGCTCGGGACCTGCCAATTCTGGAAATAATATGAAGCTGAGAGTTTCAAACAGCTCAAAACAAAGGAGCAAGGCGTAGGAAAGAGAAAATTGTGGGACTACTTGGCCAGGAAATATCCACTAGGTTTCACTAAAAGGTGTTCCTTGCCTCTTGATAAGAATGCAATCGAGTATAAAGCATACAAATTCGTCCAAGAGCAGTATCAAATTCATTTTGATTTTCGGTACTGTTTGGGCAAACTTGGGATAGTTACACAGTAAAGGTTGACGACTCTTAGCCTTTGGCAACGTTGAATGTAAGTTAGATATTACTGATAACCCTCTATGAGTCAAAACTAAGGTTTTTATATCAGTTTACATCACTCTCTATAACTTCGTTGAGTTTCCGGACGAAATATCTTGGCATAACATATTTAGTATCTGATTAGAAGAATGTGGTGGTACAGGGGTAAATTGGGTAGCTTGTCAGTTTACGCGGTCACGAATATCAAATCTTTGCAGTTTACGTCTTTTCATAATCCAATGGGTTTTCATAAGTTAATGCAATGCCTGCAAAGAAAAGAAAGAAAAAAATGATGATGATGCTAGTACCATCGTGATGAGCAATGTGTCGAACTGAAAAACGATTATTGGGAGTAAGAAGTATTAAGAGCATCAACTTGGACTCTGTCTGTAAGACATTGAACGAAATTGATCGGCGGTCAAGGCAAATCAATATAAGCTTTGATTATGTAAACATAAATTCCATCACTCCTTCTTTGCACAACATTAATATTGGACCCACAATAGGAGATCCAAGGCTAATTCCACCTCCCCGGGTTGACCAAAAACAGGGTGGACTCGCGTCTCTCATCGTCAAACATCTTCCACTCTAAAAACCTGCCTGCAAGCTTCTTTTACTTCGTAAGAAAAATGAGACATTACGCACACCCTTCTCGTTTCCCAGGCCTCAAAAGTGCAAATCAATTTCGTATTACCCAGTTATCCTGAGCACGGTGAAGCAAGAGCACAATGTAACGGCGAAATTACTCGGCGAATGACGAAGCAGGCGCAATGCATTGTGAATATCTTCATATCTTCATATCTTCTCCTATTCAACTCCTATTTAATAGAATGGATATTCCCTTTCCTTTCTTCCCTCTTCATTCTTTCAGCTAAAGTCAGAAACACCACACTCATTTATACCACACTCATTTATAAAAACAAACTACAAAAATTACACTCCTTAATCCTCACACAACTTTAAATAATCAAACACTCCACCCCTCATCAAAATGCAATACTCATTCGCTCTTCTTGCCTTGGCAACCCTCGCAGTTGCACAGACAGATCTCCCCAGCTCTGGAGTCGCATCTGTCACCAGCGCAGCACCATCTTCCACTCCGGCCGCATCGAGTGCAGCTGCCACCGGTGCTGATCCAACAATCATCACAAGTTCCTCCGTTTCAAGCATTCCTACCGCAGTCCACACCGATTCGCGATCTATGACAACTTCCGTCAGTACCTCAGCCTCATCATCAGAGGCATCAAAAGTACCAGTCAACCCACTCAACGGCAGTGGTACCAGCAGTGGCAGTGGAAGCAACTCCACAATCACCTCAAATGGTTCCGGAAACTCGACATCTTCCTCTTCACCACCAATCAAGTCCGCAAAGCCAAACTCTGCCTCGGGGTCTGCAAATGCTATGGGAGGACTTATGAGCGTCGTTGTCGCTGGTGTTGTCATGCTTCTGTAATTAAATCTCTGAGCAAGATCACTCTGTCAAAATCCTCTGGATGAGGTTGTCGGGAGAGGACTGTCGTTACTAGCCGGGCCAGTATGATACACGATGAAAGATGTACATAATTTAATTGTAATCTGCTGTCTTGAAAAAATTGAAGATTGAGCCAGAATTCCTGAGACATCATGTGAACAAACGTGTGAATATTGCACATCAAGTACTCGATTGATCATGTGAGATTGAGAACTAGGTGTTTGCATCTAGTTCTCATGGAGAACATGAACATTATTCCATGGAATTGCTGAGATTTTGGTTCTAGATCTGAACGGTGTAACCAAGCTAAATCAATAAATCTCGATGAACAGTAAAATATCTTCATATCTGAACAACCCATCTATCCACTTGACAGTGACCCTTTTACATTCTATCTTATAGCCTTTTTATTTCAATCAGCGTTCAACATTCAAATACTATTCCATTCCACGCCCCTCTATAAAATGTTCTATTCGAAATTGTTGTGCTGGGTCTACTTTCTCTTTTGCTCCACTTCCTGATTAGATCCACTTATAGCTCTGCTGCCTAAATGCTTCATGTCTGCCTAAACCTTACACTCTTTATATAAACACCTTAGATAGCTACCTTTTACAATGCAATCAATTCTCCATGACCTTCAGTACCCAATACCCTTTCAACCCAATAGAAATTAATGATCCCCTAGAAGACTCTAACTCTACACTAGAGAATCTAAAATTCTAGCTAAGAACTTATGTTGACCAGTATATATAAGTGGAGTGCCTAGAATGCCAGATTTGAAGTACTAATAAGAATTATATTAAACGAGTTACTTTAGACAGTGAGAGTAGGAAACTACCTAATATATATATATATATATATAAAATCTACTCCTTTGTACTACCTGTTTCATGGTAGAGTGGTGGAAAGACCTGTCAGTATATTAGCTGACAACTTATTATATAATCTAGGAAATAGCTATTCCGGTCTATCTAATATAATACCCTTGCCCCGAGTAATTTCGGGCCTAGCTTTCCTTAGCTTATTCACTCACTTATATAACGCTCTTCTTTTCTTTCACCCTTCGATCTTTAAATTAAGATACTCGTTCTATAAACTAGGTATATAACACAAATTAGTTTCCCTTTGTTCCATATTTACGGTTCTTATATCTAGGTAACTAAAAGAAGGCTAAGAATATTAACACAATCTAATATTCTTTTCTCTTACTATATATACATGACTATTTACACTTAGTAGTAGACTATACCTGTACACAGTAGAAACACCCGGAATAGAATGTTAACACGAATCCGAGAATCCCCTTTCCCCTCCCCCCCTTCCTCCTCTTCCCATTAGCCCTCACACAAGCAGAACGCCTTCAGGCATCCCATCCAACAACGCGCCGAAATCCTAGCCAAAATCGCTAAACCACAAAGACTAAACACTAATCAAGAACCAGTGTACTACCTCCTCCTCCTTCCCCCTTCCCTCTTCCCCCTCCCCTCTCTCCCCTTCTCCAACAAACCAAACCAAAGCCAAACAAACCCCTCCCCTCACTTTCCCTCACTTCCCCTCACCTTCTACCCTTCAACTCAAATCCGTGACAAGAGCCTCTGCCCCTCTCCATGAAAATTTCAGACCATTACTCCCAACCGCTTATGAGCTTCATCACAAAAGCACCTTCATTCCTCTATTCCCCAATCACCGGTCACAATAACCAGTAGTCGCAAAAATCATGAAGGAAACCCATCATGGCCAGATTTCAAAACATGAGAGAGAGGGAGGAGGGAGGCTTGAGGGAGGAGTATTACTTGTACACCCCCACACTCACAAAACCCCCCTAGATCCTAGAATCTCTTCACAGCAATCAACAAGTACGTTTGATATTCCAGTCTCCGAGAATAGACAGTAACACAGTATAAAGAGAACCATCCAATCTTAACGAGAAATAGTTTCACACTCACAAACACATACCAAATGAACGATTAATTAAAGTATAGAATAGATAAAGCCACAGCATCACCAAAAATAGAAGAGAAAAGATTTCAATCATTTCGATTTCACAACCCTAAGCTTCACCAAACCAAGTGCTCGGAAAAAAGAAATAAACAATCAAATTTTCCCCCGGCTCCGCTCCGCTGTCCGAACCTACCTATGTACTGTAGCTTGTCTGATTTGCCATCCTAGAATTCCCTTACTCGTCACCACCGACAAGGTTAGTACCTTCTCTCAAGCCCTCCACGACAAGGGCGTGTCCTTCAGCACGTTGGTAGATATCTCGGACATCATCAGTAGTAGTCTCGAAATGACTGGTAGCATCGTAGGATTTGGAGATGAAGATGTTGTCCTTGGTTCCATCCTCTAGTGGGGAGTAGAGTGGGATTGGTGGGCCCTGGTTATGTGTTAGTAAAGTCTTTTAGCTAGAGTTTAGATAATAACTGACCATGAACTTCTCCTCAATTTTACCAAGACGCTCAAATCCTGCTGCAAGCTCGAGGTGGTGGTTTGCGGAGGTCTCTGCGATGGTGGAAACAATGGCAATGTAATAACCCTTAGGGCAAACATTGTGGGAGTTTGACACGACGGCAATGTAAATGTCTAATTTTTGTTAGTTTGGATCTCTCAAACTCATGGGGATTTCATACCGTGTTTTCGTCCAACCTGGGATTGAGGAATGATCAACTGAACAGAGTCGGAGTTATCGGTACCAGCAAGAGGGTGGTTCAGGATACAGATAGCCTTCAACAGTTGACCAGTAACTTGAACCTTACCAGGGAAGTATGAAGGATCAGCAAGGATCTTCTTGCATTTGGTGGTGAACTTCATTGGTGGCTCTCCTCCTCTGTCCTCCATAGTAGCCTTGATACCAGTAACTTTGTCTCCGTCATAAATGAATTCATTGATGTTGGTGTTGAGCATATATGTTCCACCGTAAATGGCAGAGAGACGAGCGAATCCCTGAGGAAGCTCTCCGAGACCGTAAAGGGGGTAGATGTATGGGGATTTTCCGTAACGGGAAACAGAGTTTCCGTATAGCCTGATTCGCTCGATTGCTGCTGGAGCTCCTCCCGGTGTGGTCAGGTATGCATCGGTTTGGTAGAGAGCCATAGCATGGCCAATGAAATCCCGAGTGGTAGCCTCGAGTCCAAATTTGTCATAAACATCCTTCATTGTGCAAGATCCCATGTTGAGACCTAGATACTGTTAGAGTGTGTCAAAAAGTATAGCATTATACAACCAACCTTTGTGTTCTGCAGAATCAGCTGCGTCGAATGTGCCAATCCACTCAATGAATGACTTCATTCTTCTTTTTTCAAAGATACCCATCAACGAGGACCTCAGGGCCTCTCCAGCATCTGAAGGGACCTTGGCAACGGTTGCCTTTGCACCAGCACCCTGTTGTACGTAGCTGCCAGCAACTTGCTTGAACTCAAGGTATCTTGTGACATCGGTGGAGACGAGGATATTCGTTAATTCGCCCGAGGACATGAGGAGTTTTGGAACAAGATCGATGTTCCAGTCGTTGACGCGCCCGTACTTCTCCCATGGCTTGTCGCCCTCGGAGTAGTTTCCGTATTTCTTGAAGAGCTAGGACGGGTCAGGGAGGTTCGTAGATAATAGGGACACAGAGACTGCAACTTACTGCCTCGATGTTGATGGAAGCTGCTTCTCTGTTGTTGAGTCAGTCCGGTTGCTTGTGAAGGAGTGGCGGAGAGGGGTTTCAGCATCCACGTACCCTCCATAATGGTCGTTGCGATCAATATGTAGCACCTTCTTGCCCTTTACACTCAGAACACTGCCGATGGAGTTAGCACACTCTCTCTGTCGTTGTTGAAGCTATTCCGAAGCTTGCATACCCGGAAAGCACACATTCAGTCAGACCTGTCTCCTGTCAGCCATCGTCCATCTCCATCTCCTGCCCCGCAGCGGGGTTGAACATACCAGTTCCAAGAACCACGACATCGTACTCGGGGGCGATTTCATCCATAGTGAAGGTTTCGATGTTGAGAGAGAATTGAGGAGTTGAGGTTCAAAGCACAAGGTGCACTTTTCTGAAAGGTTAACTTATGGTGGTGGTGCGTGGTGTTGTCTATTGGGTCTATTGGGTCTATTGGGTCTATTGGGGAACGGGGCATGTTCGTGATTGGTTGAGCCCCGGAGTTCGCGTAGGAACTTAGTGACCGCCTCTTGGGAAGGGAGCTTGACCTTGTCTCAAAATATTTATGCTGTTATGCTGCCACCAGAAATGTACACATACAGCCAGCTTCACGCAACGGGCTACGGGCCTAGGTAATGCTTGGTTGTCTCTGTGGATTTGGAGACGTTTTGTGTCATTTATAGTACAAGGCAGTTTTTACACTTCCCCAACTCGGGTGGAAGATTTTCAGTCAAACCGGATCTGCGAGTTCTCTAACACATCTCATGATATACACCCTCCTGGCTCATCCAAATACGCTCCCCCTGGCCGTTCAACAAGCCAGTACCGTCATTCACAAAGGCTTCTCAACCACCGAGCCCTTCTCCGTAGCTGCCGGCGGTGGAATATCTGTTTTGTCTGCCGATTCAGCGGCAGGTGCCGCCTCCACCTCTTCCGGCACTTCGTCCTCGAGAACGGCCTCTTTGGGAATATACGGCGGTCCTTGTCCAGTCACATCGATTTCTTCATCTTCGTACATAAGCACATCGGCCTCTCGGTAGGCGTAGTATCTCTCCGTCAAGGTGTGCTTGATGCCTCGCATCGTTCTCCGTACCTAAATTGAACCAAAATGCATTAGCCAACAATCCCGCTGTGCAGCAACACATCCCCCGTCCAACTATGAGAGACTCACATTGAAATCTCTCGCCCCAGACTCCAAATCTCCAGAGCCCGCCTTCACGCGATTTCGTTCATATTTATCCGTGGCAATCCTGTTCCTCTCCTTACAGCACACCCACCATAACGCATGTAAATCCTCGAAGCTCTTATGTCTCAACTCCTCTACCGTCCAACCCCTTCCATGTTGCGTAAGTTCCAAAGGAGTGGCGAACGGTTTTTTCTTGTTGTAAAAGAAGTCCCATAATCCGTGATGCACGTCCACATCCACCTCGGGTCGCTTTGCAGGGTCAAGCACTGGTTTCGGAAGCGGCGTCTTGGAAACGGACAGAGGTTGACGAAGACCGGTACGTCTTCGTGTAGATACACCTCGTTGGCGGTTCATGTCGCGAGGGTACAGAGAGGTAGAGGTGCTGGAGAAGGGAGAGCTTTGCTGGACGGGCGCCAGAAGTGATGGGAGGAGGAAAGTTGGTGGTGCATTTTGTGCGATATTGGCTTTGAGTAACCGTCTGGCTACTGGCCGTATGGAAGTTGATGTGGCCATGGGGAATGTATGGCCAATGTTCTAAAAGTTTGACCCAAAAGTCGCGAGGCTCTACACCAAAAATCCAGCGCCAAGACCTTCACTTATTTTGTCCAATGGGAGCCTCGATGACCTCGAGCCTTCAATTCAAGGCTGCCGTTGAAGTAACCACAACAAAGTTGAATCACTGCGCATATTTCTCAAAGTACAGAATATTTCATTGAATAGACTGCCCTGCCCCTGAGACCTTGGCCAAAATCGGCATTCCACAGTGGTGCCAATCTCAAACACATCCCTTAAGAACACCCCAATTAAAAACACATCTATGGTCCTTCAAATCCCATTCTTTTTTCTAGAACTTCCCAAAATTTGCACGGTATATAAGCTTCGTACTACTGTAACTCATCGTGTATATCAGACGATTTCGCATTCTAAATAACACTTAGATGTTTACAAGTGAGCTAGATGTGTAGCCTAAATCGCTTAGGTAAGAATACTATAAATGGGATACTTATAACTTACTCAATAACACGACAGTGCCGAACAAAGGACTGTCGTATTCTGCAGTTACGCATTTAAAGAAGATTTATATCTTTGGTGTTTATAGTAATATGAGATAATGAGATTTGTAGTTTGATTTTAGTTAAAGTACTTTTTTCGTCGAGATCTAGGGGAGGTAAGTAAGGGGGGATAAATAAAAGGTAACTGAACTTCGTTAGCGTATTTGTAAATTAAGTAAAAGGGTTTGGATAGGAAATAACACGTGTGAGTTCTATGCATTTAAGAAAATTAAGTTAGGTTTATAAGTCAAATAACCCGACTAGTGATTAACGAAACGAGAGTGAATCAGCAAAGAACTGAGGTGATTGCAAATATCCTGAACTAATTAGAATACAACAAGAGTAGGTCGTCTTTGGATAATCTTCACGATACTAAAACCTTTCCATCTACCATTCGTAACTTCTAGCATATAAGAAGTTATAGTATGGAATCAAACACTACATTCGTAACCTTGAGTTACATTTTCCTGCAAAACAGGTTATTTACAGAGTGAAAAAAAGCTATTCAACTCTAGATTAGAATCGCTTTAGGCTTTAAGGTCTTCTGTAGCTTCAAGTTATTATCTAATACCTGCAATATATACAAAATGGATTACGGGGCTCTCGATAGGTTATGTATCATATCTTATCTAGTGTATATTAATCGTTAGGTATTCGCTTAGAAGAGTGTTTGAAGGCAAGGTAAACAGTACTATATGATCTGAAGCATTCTATTATTACCTTGTAAAAAGAAATCACATGTTATTAGCTATTAGAGTCTTGGTTTCTAGGCAAGTATTTATCGTGTTCTTTGGATCTATTCACGTTCAGAACCTTAGAAGGAGTAGTTGATTAAGGGAAAATATTCATAGTTAGGTATCACAGGAGTTAAGTAGGAGATAAGTAATATCAAACTATAAACATACAGTGAGAAATCTTATCAAACTAGAAAGGTGTTATTTTAGTTTTATTAGATAGCTGTTAGATTACGTGTTTGTGACTTACACAACGACCAACTTCTCTAACAAAGCTGTGATAGCTGTGCAAATGAAAAGCTTTCTGTTGTAGATTAAATGTGAAAATGCTAAGCGGGATTGCAAGCAAGGACGGTGTTTAGTTGAATTAGTTCTCAAATCATGAAATAAATGGGGTAGTTTTATCACAGATTTCAAGCTCTCGCTTAACGCTACTGTCTAATATTCAGTCTAATATATTTCCTTCTAAATATTTTGTTCTCATTCGATATATCCTGGAAGAATTGGTCTCTTTTTCAGCTGTCGAGAGTCCGATAACTTGATAAGGTTCAAAGAGTACTATGTTACACCGTTACCATTCGGTACTTTTCGTTACTTGATACCTCTGTACTATGTAAACAAGCCCTCGTAAAAGAACCAATCAGTAGCAAGCAAAGAGTAAAGAGAAGTCAGACAAGTGTTCAATCAAAAAATTTCCCGTGAGCATAGCATTGCTGAGAGCCCCACGTGTCGTCACAACTTCTCAACCAATACACTTCGATGTCTGGAAACCATACAGTTACACATGACACAGTCAAGCCAACAGAGACTCATTGCATGCTATATACTCGGCATGGTTTCGTATAATGGCTGCTTATTTACTAAAATACCCCCTATGGGTGGCCCTTACATGAAACCTCCCCGAGTATATGTCTTTCAATGGTGGTCAAGGAAGGCAGGACAAATTTCACAAAATGCCCAGTACACTTTGGTTGTCAATCATAATTGCAAGTTAAGGATTACGAGATTCAATTCTTAGCTTGTAATAAGGATGATTTTGACATATCCATCTACCTGAAACTTCGATGCAAAATGGTATCACGGCGTCTATTTCCCGAAACCGTCATCCGGGAGACAACAAGAACCATATATCCCCTCAGCTACTGTATGTGATCTTTCTAGTGGCTCACAGCTATACGAATTCCCGCCAAAGCTAACCCCAAAGGTGTCTTACTCCGACGTCAAAAAAGCGAATTTCCCAAATCCCAACTCCAACCAAACCCGACAACTCGGGTCGGTAGCCCCAACAACGCCCATCACATCGGCAATCCCGAGGACGTTAACACACCTCTCCCTTCCAATCGGAACTATTTCCAATCTGACTCCTCCATACCTACCAGGAAGGGGGGCTGGCCCGAAGTTCCAAAATCCCAACGACGTCGGCCCCGAAAAAAAAAGACGGTTCCCAGGAATCCAACAACCCAGTGCCTTCCCGCAAAATTCCCGCCTCCAAGGTAACGGATACACCTCCAAAAATCCAAACAACAAGGATGTATAAGTAACAACAAGCTTAAAACGAACCGTAACCTCCTCAAATCAGCGTCCTCGCTCACCAACCCGACACAAGAACCCCTTCCCGAAGAATAGAAGACAGACAAAGGGCGTAGCGTGACGCTGCTCAGTTTACTGGGAGCATCGGGAATGTTGACTTCTAACTGGTTACCAACCAACTTTTTAGCTTCTCCGCCACCAACAACAACAACACCGAGGGAGCAATCAGCCTGTCATGAATACCATTTGGAAACAGGGCTCCAACCCACACGCAAAGAAAACCTTATTGGGGATGTGACGAGCGAGAGAAAACCTTAGAATCAGTCGGATTATGTAGCCAACCATACAGATGTGATGGAGGAGAGATGAAACCCCCCCCCAAAAGAAATTATTCGGAAAAAAACCAACTCCATCTAACCGCAAATGATGACAACACCGAAGAACATAGCGTGATGAAACTTCTGACCAACAATTGAGGTGCCAACTCCACGGTCTTAAAATACTAATAACCATAGGTAACGTGAAGGTAAAGTCCCCAACGCATCGCTCATCCCGAGGGAGAGGTACTTGGTGGTACCAGCACGAAGATCCGTTCATCGGCTTGGGAACGCGGGAGCTAATAAAAGATAGAGGGATGAACCAGGCGTATCGCCGAGGCAGATTGCGATATGGATATCTATCCCGACTCCTGGGACGTGGATCTTGCGTTCATTCGTGTGTGTACGGAGTATACGTCGAGAGAAGCGAGCAAGGAATGGAAAAAGATGACATCGACTGAAAGGAAACGAAGCGGTGAACAATCTAGACTCGACATTTGGTATTCTATCCTATGTAAGACCCCTCTTTTTAAGTATTCCGTGCTATTTTAAGAAAAGACTGGAATATACTATTGTATTTACAGAAGCTTATTAGTTTACTATGCAATAAGTTACATAATCAAGAACACAGTCTAATAAGCTTCAGAAATTCTGATTGAGCCTTGGCGTAAGTGACTTGCATTAACGACTCGCAACGTTCGACATTTAAAATAGGATTTCTCAGAATCCCAAATAGGACTCTAAGGGTAAACATTCCAAGGGTCCCGTGATTGTAACCAAAAATTCCACGGAATGAGGCCATGGAATATAGTATCCCAAAAATAAACTAACGCGCGAGTATCGAATTCTAACGCTTATTCAAAAGAAGGAATTATCCCATTTATGAGAAACTCTAGAATGTTTAATAATAGAATAAAATTACAAAATTCTATAAAATCGAGTTCCGTTTGCCGATCGTTGATGCCTCGTTAATCTAAAACACCAAGAAGCAAACAAATACGCACGAGGGGACAAAAAGACACAAGAGATAACCCTTTCCAGGACTCCAGGACTTAATAATCCAAGACACATAGACACAAATATACGTCTTCAACAATCCAACCATTACCAAAGCAATAAAAAGCACAGCACATCCAAGAACATCCAACGAGGAGGAATCACAAAAGCAAAAGTTCAGAAAGAAAGAAATCCCTCTAACTCCATTCCGAGAACAAAAGACTTAACATCAGCTCTAATGGTAACACTCACAAAAGTATCTATTAACGAACAACATCTCACCTCCACACCACCACTAAAAACCTCGTCTCTTCCCCCTCTAAAAAAAAATAAAAGGTCTTACTAACAAGCGAAACTTATACATCAATAACACAGCACCACTAAACACATCCTCACCTCATCCCCAAAAACCACTTAAAACCCCCCCTCCAAATCCACAACATCCAAAACCCAGCATCACAAATACCCACTACATCCCTTCAACACCCATCTACCCACCCCCCATCCACCTCCCCCATCTTTCAAAAAACCCCATTCCCATTCCCATCCACAACACAACACCATTCTTCCCAACCCCAAACCCACCCACCCCTGCTTTCCCAGAATCCCACCAACACCCAACCCATTGAACCCAACCTTCCACCGTACAACCTCACAAGTACGCCAGAGGCGCAGTATCCGCCTCAGCACCAAAGATACTACTTACTATCATCGAGTTAGCCCGAGCCATGTCCTCGGTCAGCGGGATATCTCCTGGATTACGAGGACGGTGGGTTGGAATGGTAATGTACTGTAAGCGCGTGGAATCACTTGATATAGCTGTTTTGAAGTAAAGAGGGGGCCAGACCAGATCTCGAGGCTGTCCCCGGGGTTGTTGACGCGGAGTCTTTCTTCTGGGGTGAGAGGGAAATGTATTTC